AATCTTCGGGAAAGTTCTCTCTCTCTCAGGTATATAGAATTCTGATGTTGGGATTGGTTAGTTTGGCCACTTTGCCAGGTTCAAAAAGGAGCCCTCCTAGAGGCAGAAGGAGTCTCTCTGACTGCTGGCTGGGAAGGACATGCTGCTGAGAGAAACGTGCTCCTGAGAGACCCACACTGCTGAGAAAGACCTTGAGAGACATGCACGGCTGAGAGAGACCTTGAGAGACATACACTGCTGAGAGAGGCTTTAGCTGGGAGACGGCGGGCTGCGAGAGACTGAGTGCATTTCTGAATTTGAGTTGTAGCCTGTTTCTTCCCTAATAAACCCCATAATCTGTGAGTTCTGTGTGGCCACTACAGTGAATTATCGAACCCAGCAGAGAAGTGGTGGGTGCTATGGGAAAAACGGTTGGTGAAAGGGCTGGAGGGAGGCAGCATGTCTGGCCTCGCAGGAATAGGCCTTGGGCTACTGATGGTGATTCTGTCTTCTTGTGGGGTTAGAGGAGGTCAGAAGATACGGCCTCCTTGCCCCTTTGGTATGTGCTGTCAAGTCGGCTCTAACTCATAACAACCCTGTGTACAATAGAATGAAACACTGCCTGGTCCTGTGCCAACCTCACAATCCTTGCTATACATGAGCCCATCGTTGCAGCTACTGTGTCAGTCCGTTTCGGAGGGCCTTCCCCTTCTTTGCTGACCCTCCACTTTACCAAGGATGATATCTCTGTCCAGGGAATGGTCCCTTCTGATGGCATGACCAAAGTAGGTGAGATGAAGTCTGACTGTTCTCGCTTCCAAGGAGCATTCTGGCTGTACTTTTTCCAGGACAGATTTGTTCATTCTTTTGGCAGTCCATGGTACTTCAGTATTCTCCAACACCACAACTCAAAAGCATCAACTCTTCAATCTTCCTTGTTCATTGTCCAGCTCTGACATGCATATGAGGCAATTGAAAATACTATGGCTTGCGTTAGGCACACCTTAATCTTCAAGGAGACATCTTTGCTCTTCAGCACTTTAGAGAGGTCTTTTGCAGCAGATTTGCCCAGTGCAGTATGTTATCTGATGTCTTGACTGTTGCTTCCATGTGATTCAGTAATTCCCACAGTCTTTTGGATCACTTTTCTTTGGAATGGGCACAAATAGGGAATCTCTTCCAATCAGTTGACCAGGTAGCTGTCTTCCAAATTTCTTGGCATAAACCTGTGAGCACCTCTAGTGTTTAATCCATTTGTTGAAACGTCTCAACATGTATTCAGTCAATTTCTGGAGCCTTGCTTTTCACCAGTTCCTTCAGTACAGCTTGGACTTCTTCCTTTGATACCACTGATTCTTGATCATATGTTACCTTCTGAAATGGTTGAACATCGACCAATTCTTTTTAGTGCAGTGACTGTATTCCTTCCATCTACTTTTGATGCTTCTTGCATCATTCAGTGTTTTTGCCCTCTATTACAATTTGAGGCTTGAGTTTTTTCTTTAGTTCTTTAGCTTCAGAAATGCTCAGGGTGCTCTTCCCTTTTGATTTTCTAAGTCTGTGTTTTTGCATATTTCATTGCACATTCATTGTATTTTATCTTCTTGAGCTGCCCTTTGAAATCTTCTGTTCAGCTCTTTTACTTCATTTATTTCCCCTTTTTGTGTTAGCTCTCTGTGTTCAACAGCAAGTGTCAGAGTCTCTTCTGACATCTATTTTGGTCTTTCCTTTCTTTTTAATGACCTTTTGCTTTCTTCATGTGTGATGTTCCACAACTCATCTGGCCCTTGGGTCATTGGTGTTCAATGTGTCAAATCTATTCTTCAGATGATCTCTAAATTCAGGTGGTATTTGGTTCTCGTGCACTTGTTTTAATTTTCTTCAGTTTCAGCTTGAACTTGCATATGAGTACTTGATGGTCTGTTCCTCGGGCAGCCTCTGGCCATGTTCTGACTGACGATATTAAATTAAGCTTCTCTATCTCTTCACAGATGTAGTTGATTTGATTCCTGCGTTTTTCATGTGGTGAGGTTCGTATGTATACTATTTATGTTGTTGGAAACAGGTATTTGCAGTGAATAAGTAAGTCATTGGTCTTGCAAAATTCTGTCATGCAATCTCCAGCATCATTTTATCACCAAGGCCATATTTTCCAACTACTGTTGCTAGTTCTTTGTTTCCAACTTTCATATCCCAGTCCCCAGTACTTACATCTTGATTGTATGTTTGGTCAATTTCACACTGCAAAAGTTGATAAAAATCTTTAATTTCTTCATCTTTTGCTTTAGTGGTTGGTGTGTAAATTTTCATAATAGTAGTAGTAATTGATCTTCCTTGTGGGGCTGTTATCCTATCACTGACAGCACTGTACTTCGGAAGAGATCTTGAAATGTTCTTTTTGATGATGAAAGCAAAGCTTTTTTTTTTTTTCAATTTGTCGTTCTTGTCATAGTAGAGTATGTGACTCTCTGGTTCAAAATACCAATCCATTTCGGTTTGCCAGTGCCTAGGATGTCTATATTTATGTGTTCCATTTCATTTTCGTCAGCTTACAGCTTTCCTAGATTTGTATTTTATGATCCAGTTATTAATGGATATTTGATTCTGTTTCTTCTCACAGTTGTGACAACGCCAACAAATGAAGGTCCCAAAAGCTTCACTCCATCCATGCCATTAAAATTGCTCTACTTTGAGAGTCAGCTCTTCCCAGTCACATTTTGAATGCCTTCCAATCTAAGGAACTCATTTTGTGGCACTATATCAGGTCAAGTTTCCCTGCTGTTCATAAGTTTTTCAGTGGCCGGTTTTTCAGAAGTGGAACTCTCCATGCCCGTCTTCCTAATCTGGAAGCTCCTCTAAAATCTGTGCAGCATGAGTGACCCTGGTGGTATTTTTGAATCCCAGGGGTTAGTGATGGTAGGGGAAAGTGGGGTGGCTGTAACTAAAAGCGGTAGGTAGCATGAGGGACCTCTTTTGTGATGATGGATTAATTCAGTATCACATCGAGGTGGTGGTTACAGGAATCTGAACGTGATAAGATGGTTTAAAAATATACACAGTCAATGGTAATTTCCTGGTTTTGATAGTGTATTATTATAATGTAAGATGTAACAGTTGGGAAAAACTGGGTGAAGCGTATACAGGACCTTTTTTGTGCTATCTTTGCAACTTCCTCTTCTTTCAGAATAAAATGTTAAAAAATAAAAACTTCAGGCAACAACCTAAATACAGTACAGCATCAATTCAAACAGAAGCAATAGCCAAATGTCGCCTGTTTTGACATCTTCAGGGATACTGGCATAAATATTTAACTCTCTGCTTGCGCAGCCAGGAAGAAAGCATGACTGGTTGGTGTACTTTGTGTTAACTCAATTACCATGTTACAGAAATGGCAAACTGCCATAATAAAAACCAAGAATTTTCTGCCAGCACTAAGTTATCTCCGTTGGTCCCCACCCAGCCTGTAAACACTATAGATGACTGTAATGGAATATAAGAGAGCAGTGCAGTCATGGCTGAACTTCACACTGCCAGACTGGGCTTTCCTCTGTGACTTACTTCTTCATATTTCTGGTGTTTCATCTTTTCATTAGGATTTCATAGTTCTAAATTCTAAGGCCATGAGGAAAGTGTACACGTATTTGAGTATAAATTCTACCAGAAGATGTGTGGCCACCAACAAAGCAAGTGTCTGGTAGGTGCCATCTTACAAAGCCTCATTTTGAGTTGAATGAAAATGGCACCAGTTTGAGTCTTACCATTCTAATCTTAGTTTTAAGTATGGATCAGGTGTTGCTAAGCTCATTTCTCACAAATGGCTGCCCACAAGGTTTACCCTGATGATGATGTAAGTGACAGTGTTACTTGTCACTATGCAGTAAAGCACTTGCTATGTGCAAGGCACACTTGCTAGGACTTTACATTGATTATCTCCTTGAATTCCCTCAACAGTCTAAGACTGTGCTATTATCTCTGTCACAGAGACGAAACGGGGCCTTAGAGAGGTTAGATAGCTTGAACAAAGCTGAACAAGTTGTAGGGCTGGAATTTGAGGCCAGGACACACTGACTGCAGATCCCAGGTACTTAACAAGTTTCCCTGTTCTTTTTCTTGGGGAGGGTGGGCGATGGGAGTGGTGAGCAGTGGTGAGCATGCATATACTTGACTGCTGTACACTCTGCCTTCAATAGCAAACTAATTGCTTAAGAACCCAACACTCTTTCTTACTCACTCAGGCCTCCTTCAATACCAAATTTCACTGCAAAACTTACCTTTAACTTTATTTGAGAAAGGCTGAACTGTCCAGCATTCTCTGGTTCTTTATACTTACTCTGTTAACCACCATTGAGTTGGGCCCCCAGTGGTGACCCCCTGTGCAACTGGATCAATCTGTTGTGACCTGTAGGGTTTTATTTGGCTGATTTTAGGTCTACGTTAAAATAGTTTGGTTTTTCTTAGAAAACAAACATAAAATTATATATGGTATATTGTTCCAACCAAGTAGACAATTTATTGTTGTTAAATCAGTCTTGTTCTTAAATGCCTTTAAGGAATCAATTTGTTTAATCTGAAAAGCAGTGGTGATGGTGGTGAAGCAAAACCAAGGTTCACAGTCACATAAATTGTTTTACTTGACTAAGAGCTTATCTCTTAATTATGCCGTGGTAGTAATAAATGACAGCGCAGCAAGGATGTTTGTTTTTCATAGATGTAAGTACGTCTAGTCTTGTGATCCTCCACTGTGCAGCTGGGCAAACCCCTAAGATCACGTTGCAAGATACACAATTGAGAATTTTACAAATACTTGGAGTTACATTTAGATACAGGTGTTTCAGTTCCTGTGAAGGCAATTAAGCAAGTTATTTTAAATCCTTTATTTAAAACCTGGCATTTTTCCCAAAGTTACAAACATACTTTTGATTTTTGTAAAATCAACTTGACATCTGTAATTACATGTATAATGTAATTTGTACTGTGAAGACATAAATAAAGTGATCTAATTTCTTACCTTCTCTTTATAGGAATATATTAAAGGGATCTGTGAACCTGAACTAGAAGAAAGAGAATGTTACCCTAAAGCCATGCACTGCATTTTTGTTGGGGCACAGGGCCTCTTCCTGAAGAGCTTGATTCAGGATACCTGTGCTGACCTCTGTGTTCTGGACATTGGTCTTCTTGGCATTAGAGGGAGTGCCGAGGCTGTGGTCATGGCTCGGAGTCACGTTCAGCAGTTTGTAAAGCTCTTTGAGAATAATGAGAACCTACCCAGCACTCAGAAAGACTCAGAGGTGAAAAGGGAGTTTAAACAATTTGTTGAAGCCCGAGCAGACAATTATACCATGGATTTGTTGATTTTGCCCACTTCCTTGAAAAAAGAACTTTTGACTCTGACACAAGGTGAGGAGAATCTATTTGAAGCAGGAGATGATGATGTTGCTGAGGTTAGAGATTCTAAACAAACAGAGGTTACACAGAATGCTGCCACAGGGCTGAATATTTCCAGAGATGAAATTGTTTTGCAGGAAGATGCAAGAAATAAAGCTGGCACCCCTGTTTCTGAGCTTACAAAACAAATGGACACAGTCTTTTCTAGTTCACCAGATGTACTTTTTGTTCCGGTAAATGGCCTGCCCCCAGATGAAGAGGCACTTTCCAAAGAGAGAATTTGCCACAAAAGGAGATCTTCTGATTCTGAAGAAAGACATACCAAGAAGCAGTTTTCTCTGGAAAATGTTCAGGAGGAGGAGCTTGTACGTGATGGTAAGACTTCAGCTGGAAGTGTGATCATTGACCTATCCAGTTCTCTTGATTGTGAACATTTAAGTCCAGATACAAAAGACACTACAGAGGAAATGGAATACAACATCCTTGTAAACTTTTTTAAAACCATGGGCTATTCCCAAGAAATTGTTGAAAAGGTCATTAGGGAGTTTGGGCCATCCACTGAACCATTATTGCTCTTAGAGGAAATTGAAAAAGAAAATAAAAGGTTCCAAGAAGACAGGGGATGTTCCTCTGGTACTGCATATCCAGAGCTCAACAAAACCAAAAATAAAAGTGTTTGTAGCAGCATAAATGAGGTCACAGTGGATTCCACTCCAAAGAAAACACAAACTCACACACAGCAGAATGTGGTAGAAAAATGTCCTCAGTTACCATTCAAAGTAGAATCAAAACCATGTACCTCAAATTGCAAAATTAATACTTTCAGAACAGTGCCAACAGAACAGAAACAAGAAATCTGGGCTTCAAACCAGAACTATATTTGTAATGTAGACCTTGAAACCGATGGCCCTTCATCTTCTGTTCTCCCTTCAAGCCCCAAAGAAGTCAGTTTTGTTTCAAGAGGAGCATCAAGTCGTCAGCCCAGGATTCCAGTTTTTCCAGAAAACGGTTTACAGCACCAAGCAGAACCCTTGCCTCCGAGTAATATGAAATCCCCCTGTGAAAGCCGTTCAGGATGTGGTAGCTCTCCCCAGTCTAAGCCAAATTGTCCACCCCTCTCTCCACCCAGGCGGCTGCCTCAGCTGCCACCGTCAGTCACTGATGCAAGGCTGACAGGGCCATCTGATCATATGGATTCCTCAGTTACGGGGGTTCAAAGGTTCCGAGATACTCTAAAAGTACCGTACAAGCTGGAATTAAAAAACGAACCTGGGAGGACAGATTTGAAGCACATTGTTATAGACGGCAGTAATGTTGCAATTACGTAAGTCCTCTCTCTGCACGTTATATTATCGTTTTAAATAAGGTTATAGGCAATGTCTCAGAATGTCGTGTCTCAGTATGATAGAGGATCTACCCTGTGCATCTGCCGTGTTTTTCTATAGCCTTTACCTCGTGGCGGCTGGGGCGGAGGGTGGGGGTGGATGGACCCAGCTGGTTGGGAAGCTGTTGTCATATCACCTGGAGTTATGAGCTTTGTTCCACCCTGCTGACCTTCTATTTCTGAGGACAACAGATGATAGAAAATTCACCTTTTCATGTGACATTGCCCAATGATAATGTGTATAAACCAAAAAAACCCACTGCCATCAAGGCAGTGCCATCCAAGTCATAGGAACCTGTAGGACAGAGTAAAACTGCCCTATAGGGTTTCCAAGGCTGTAAATCTTTACAGAAGCAGACTGCGTCATCTTTCTCCTGTGAAGAGACTGATGGGTTCAGACTGCTGACCTTTCGGTTAGCAGTTGAGTGTTTTATCCACTGTGCCACCAGGGCTCCTGATAAACAGTATGTTGTTGTTGTTGTTGTTGTTGTGACGTCGAGTCGGACCCAACTCATAGCAGTTGAGTATTTTATCCACCAGGGCTCCTTATAAGCAGTATGTTGTTGTTGTTGTGTGCCGTCGAGTCGGACCTGACTCATAGCAACCCCTCCTTGGGTTTCCAAGGCAGTATCACTACGGAAGTAGATTGCCCCATCTTGTTTCTGAGGAGTGGCTGGTGGGTTAGGCACTATGCTACCAGAGGTCCCAATAAGCAGTATAGAGATTTTAAATCATTAGGTTCTTAATACCTTGACTACCATTACGTTTTGGATATGGCTGTGGAAGTTTAAGGTGAAGAAATGATTTTTCTGCTGGAATGAGCCTAGTGGCTTGCCAAGAGTATGCAGCATGTACAGTGGTAATAGGTGTGATGTACATTTTTTTAAAATTTTCTTTTTATTGTGATTTGGATGACAGCTTACAGAATAAGTTTGTTTTCCATTCAACAGTTCATACACATTTTGTTTCATGGCACTGACTGCAATCCTCACAATGTAACAGCTCTCTTCCCACTTCCTCCCTGTGCTTACCACAGTTTCCCTGTGTCCATTCCTGCACATCCCTGCCCTCTGAGCTTTCTCCCTATGAAAATGCTGCCCTTCTGATCTCCCTGGCTGTGATGTACTTCTGTTATACTTCTGCTGGTAGATTGGTAGCAGTTTCTACACTAATGAAATTAGTCAGTTTTGGGCTTCTACTCTTACTAATATTTTGGACTTCTCTTACTAATATTTTGTATATTCATTTTTACTAAAAAGAGTTAAACAGTTGCTAATAAGCCTCTCTTGGAATCTCTCTCAAGAGCCTTATTTTACACCCATGCTTCTCTGGGGGCATTACTGTAGTCATTAAGGAGAATGAGAGAGTGGGCTCTGAATCTTTACCTCATTGTGGACCTACCTTTGGATCTGGAGCAGATAACCCTTCGGAGCTTTAGTTCCCACAGATGTGTTTATCGTGACATTTCAGCAACTGCTAGGTGGCATCCCATTGATTTGGAAGAAATCTTCACGATCTAGTATTCCAAGCAGGCACAATTCAAGGAAAGGGGCCTACATGTAGGAGAGGGAGAAGGGGCCAAATCTTAGAAAAACTTCTCTGAATTGCTGAGTGTTAGTGTGACCATTTTCCTCGAAGTTGTAAAAGATCATTTAATGCCAAGTTTTGGGAATATCTGATGGGGTTGAAAAATAAGTCTTATTGAGATACAGTAAAAGCTGCAAAAGCCAGAACCTATGTAAGGTGGGAACCTGTCAGAGAAGGAAACTCAAATATTTTCCAGTAAAACAGATGACAGAAAAGGGTAAGACTGTTAAAGGTGGGGAATTTGCAAGACCTGGAAAAACAGGGCAGTCCCATCATGTTACGGCTCTCACCGGTTCCACTGTATGTAAGTGCTTATTTTTTATTTAATGTTCTTTTTTTTGAGACTCTTCAAACAAATACACAAAAGCAAAACAATGTAATGAATCCCAAGTGCTCATCACCAAACTCGAACTTATCACTCATGGCCATTCTTGTTGCATCTATACCCCACCTCCTGCCTTTCCCTGCATTGTTGTTGTTGTTGTTTGCCGTCGAGTCGGCCCTGACTCTTGGCGACCCCTCCTTGGGTTTCCGAGGCAGTATCTGAAGGAAATCTCAACTCTATCATTTTGTCCATAAATACTGTATATGTATTTTAAAAATATAAAGATTTGCTTCTTTTTTTTGGAATGAATTACTGATTCTTTGTTTTGCTGTTTTTTTTGTTTTGTTTTTTTCTTTTTTTAAAGCCAGCATTTCAAATGTTAAGGCTTGGAGACAGGTGGTAAAATTGTATAATATACTTGTTTGTCTTTTATTTCCAAATAATACTGTTTGTCGTCCTTTCACTCGGGGGAGACACACACACAGCACGTGACCCACAGCTGCATGGCATGATCTGAGTGCAAATGTAAAGTACAATTTCAGTCACCCATATTTCAAGCCCACTCCCAGTTCTTCATTGTTACGATTTCTTGAGCCAAATGGTGATATAAAATTTGTGTCACGATTGTAACAGTAATTCACTTTTCTGTATGTGGAAAGATTTTCCAAATTCATGTTCAAAGAATAAGTAGTGCAAATAGAATGACCTGTGATGATAACACTTTGAAAAACATTTTTGGAGTACACCCACTCCTCACTTACTATCTCGTTAGCCGACATTATATGTATTTACAAAAACAGTAAAAAATCTATCCATCTGTTTTGGGCATAATGACGTATGTCTGGCAGTAACAAACACTGACGTGCAAGGCAAGAGTAACGCCTGGCTGTGATGGTTAAGGTTATTTGTCAACTTCACTGACCCATGATTCTCAGTGATCTAGCCGTTACATAATGATGTAATTTGGCAGTCGTGTAATGGTGTCATTACCCTCCATTTTGTGATGTGATATGGATAATCCTCCATTTTCATATAGGTCCAGTTTTCATGTTACTTGGAACCTAAGTATTTCGATAAGTGTGTTTCTCAAGAGAGGCCACTCTGGAATTGGACTGGTGCCATCTATCCTTAAGGATCTCTGGTGGCATAGTGGGTAAGGCATTTGGCTGCTAACCCCGATGTCAGTGGTTCAGATCTACCAGCTGTTTCGTGGGAGGAAGATGAAGCAGTTCTACTTCTGTAAAGATTTACAGCATTGGAAACCCAATGGAGGTTGCTATGAGTGGGAATGACTCCGCGGCAGTGGATTTACTGTCTCCCCTTGACTGGGTGTTTGCATATCTAGTCCCTCTCACTTTGTCAGTGGTCCTCACCCCCCACTCCCAGGTACTGCAGCACTCCAGAACACTCCCACACGTTCATTCCTAAGAAGCCCTAGAGTACAGGACCACTCTTCCGAAAACCACGCAATTAATACACTAAGGCAAAACACAGCTGTGATAGAACGCTCTTATTTGTTTGAAAAACTGATTATTTTAAGTGAATTTTCTTTCAATTTAAAGATATCCCTCTCAGCTAGCAACACTTTTACCAAAAGATGTGTTACACTAAGAAGACACCTCCTACTTAAGTCAGTGTAGGTTATTCTGAAAAGACCCTTTATTCTTTCTGTCTTTCTTTGTTTTTATTGTGATTTAGGTGAAGGTTTATAGAGCAAATTCATTTTCCATACAGAGTTTATACACTTTTTTTTTCATGACAGAAAATATCCTTTATTAACCCTTATTCTAAGTATATTACGTCAATAGCAGTCTGGATTAGATTAGACTACAAATTCTACAAAGGGAGTAATCTGTCTGTTCTGTTCATTGAACTGTCTCTGTCTGTGTTGCCTGGCACATAATCACTATCAATAAAGATTTATTGAATAAATGAGTAAATTAAAGACTTAGAGAATGTTGATTTTTTTATTTTTTTATTTTAATGATTTTTCACCACCCATTTGCAACTTCATGGTAGCTGTTCCAATGACCAATTTAGGTTAAATTTTAACTTCCTGTTGTTGTTATGGAAGCTCTGGTAGCACAGTCCCTAAGGCACTTGACTGCTAATCAGGAGGCTGGTGGTTCAAACCCACCAGCCGCTCCTTGCAAGGAAGGTTGGGCATTCAATCTACTTCCATAGTGATACTGCCTTGGAAGCTCAAGGAGGGGTCACTGACTTGGGTCCAACTCGACGGCACATAACAAGTTGTTGTTATGTGCCATCAAGTTGTGTCCGACTCATAGGGACCCCTCCTTGGGTTTCCGAGGCGGTATCTTTATAGAAGTAGATTGCCCAGTCTTCCTTCTGAGGAGTGGCTGGTGGGTTTGAACTGCCAGCCTCCTGCTTAGCAAACAAGTGCCTTAGGCACTATGCCACACTATATTTAATTCAATAAATATTTGGAATTTTAAAGCTGGAATACCTGTTACATAGAAGGCTACTATCCTATTATTAAAAGGGGGCTCTGGTGGTGTAGTGGTTAAGGCATTTAGCTGCTAACCAAAAGGTTCAAACCCACCAACTGCTCCATTGGAAGAAAGATGGGGCAGTCTGCTTCTGTAATGATTTGTAGCCTTTGGAAACCCAGTGAGGGTCACTAGGAGTCAGAATCGACTCAATGGCAGTGAGTTTGGTTTGGATTGGTTATTTTATTATTAAAAGTGTAATCTTCACAAAATTTTGTGAGGTAAAAATTATCTATAATTTATATACCATGAAATAGAGGACTAGAAAGGCTGAAAAATCTTTTCCAAGGTTACGCGGATAGGAGATTTCCGTACATAATGTTTGACACTGAAGTCACCATACACCCTGTCTCCTCCCACAGTTGGGATTTTCAGGCCTTGGCAACAATGGGTTACTTAAAGCACTGCTGAGTAGGCAGCATTCATTTGACCCAGCTCATTGGGAAAGTAGTGTAAGAGAAATTAGAGCCTTCAAGTATTAGAGTCTGTTGGTTTGAATCTCTCCCTACAGCAACTCAAGACCACCCATCACTGGGTTTCTGCAAAGCCTTTATTAGCCTATCCAGCGTGAGGTCTGCAGCTCATACACACTCGTGAGAAATTCCCAAACACCCTGCTTTATGTTGCTGAGTGTGTATATTTCTCTTCGGTTTTCCCCCTAGTCACCGTGAATGAGTCAAATGATGAGTGAATGGGAACTGTGGTATACAGCTAGACAGCACAGTGGTGGCCAAGAACATGTGGGCTCCGTCAGCCTGAAACTCCAGCATAAGAACACCTGACATCTCGGGTTGACAGTTTCCATGTAAATGAGATTTGCCCCTTCATTTGCCAGAACTATATATTTTAACCATTTTTCTAAGACAGGGTTACATGGTTATATTTAAGTGGAGGCTATAGAAGGAAACAACTGTTTCCTGGTAACTCAAAGGGTTTTCACTGTTTCATCACATGGCTCTGTCTGGTTCTGAGTACTGTAAGTTTTCATCGGGCGGATGTCGCCCATCTCTTTGATACTCTTCCTTCTAGTAGACTGTCTGCTGTCAGAAGGAAAACAATCAGGTGATACAATTTGTTACCTGTTGTATGGAAAAAGGAACATATGTTTCTTAAGAGCCTGCACACCTGGCCTCCAGGCCTAGTATTTGTCTGTCTTAATGCATTTGGAGTTGGGAGCCCCAGAGCTGTGACCTTTCAGGAGTAGAGTACTGTTACTCTGTGTGTGTATGTATATGTGTCTGTGCTTTGTCTCTGAATCAGAATTGATGGTCTGGGTTTGCCTGTCAACAGGTTCCTCTGCTATTCTGGTTTATTGCAAAGGGAGTGGGAAGCAGTGCTGATCAAGCAGATTGGTGATACTGGAGTTGAGTAGAAAGAGTCCTTCGTGAACCCATGGTATTGTTTTAAGGACCATAATTTGGTCCACTTGCCTTTTTTTCTGTAGGTTTATGTTCTGGGTAAAATCTGTGTGTGCTCCAGAATTTTAAATAACTGATTTTACTTCCAGCACAGCTCTAGAGACTTTTCAGGACATGAAAGTGATACCTGATTATTGAGGACACACTTTGGAAGTTAGTTTAGAGTGCATGTTTCTAGAAGCTACAGTCCTCCCCTCAGCTTGTTCTGTCCAGGGTGGCAGAATTTCATCACATCTACGCTTCCCTCCATTTTCCTCAGCAACCCAGTGGACTGGAACTGCATGCTCTTACCTCCACCTGGCTAATACTATTGCCATCAACAGAGGAAGCATTTAAGGAAAAAGGGAAGGGGAAGAGAGTACACAATTTCATCTGATGACAGTGCACTTTTTTAGTGGATTGCCTTTTGAGGACTAACCATTCATATCCCTTGGTTTTTCTAAGAACCAATAAGCTGTTGTAATTTGGACTTTGGTGTGTGGCCTGTGGCTGACATTAATCAACTCTAGGTGTAGGCCTGTCCTTGCTGTTAAGCAGTTAGAGTGATAAATGATTTAGTCTTTTTCAAGATTTAAAAAAGAGAGAGAGAAAGTCCCCTCTCCAAAAAAAAAAAAAAACTACCCCCACTCATTTTTTCCAGGAACAAGTGTCATATAGTTACTTACATTCTTGCCATATTTGAATGCTTTTAGATTATTTTGCTTATAGATAAATAAAGGTGAATTATTTCATTAAGAATGGATTTGTTTAATTGTGTGTGTTTTCTGGGGTTCAGCGGCTGCCTGGGCTTTAGTGTCTAGAACAAGGAATCTCTATCAGCTTTTCTGAGTCTCTCACTGTGTTTGGCATCTGTCAAGTGTCCAGCCCACTCTGGCCCTTAAAGAATGTAGATAAAATTGGCATGACAAGACTGCTGTGGAGTAGTGGAAAGGGTATTGGATGAGGAGGAAGAAGCCCAGGTCTAAGCTCAACTCATTCACTCGCTGGCAGAGACCTTAGTGCTTCATTCTGTTTATCTCTAACAGGAGTTTAAATTCCATTCCATCTCCACAGGACTGTGATTCTAATACACAGTACAGGATAGGAAGTCAGAGGAGAGGAAGAGAGAGATTGAGGACCTGTGTCTGGAGAAAGCTTCATAGAAGAAGAGGGACTACAGTTGAGCCCAGAAAGGATTTGAAGAGGGAGCAGGGGAGGGTGTGACAGCATCGCACACAAACTGAAAGTAACCTAAGAAAAAGGTCAGAGACCAGGAAAAGTGAGATGGCAAACCACCTGGCCAAAACCAAGAGTGTGTTGACTCATGGTGTGGGAAGTTCACGTGGCCAGTCCCTTCTGAGTAAGTCAGCATGGAGGGGGCCACGAAGCCAGGCCCAGGACTTGTCTGGAAGGATGGTGCTGTTGAAGGCCTTGAGCAGCGGGACCAGAGGCCCCTGGCTGCAGTCAAAGGTCAGTCTAACTGGAGTTTGCTAGGTGGCTTGGAATTAGGAGAGCCTGGGATTGACTTTGGACATGTGCCTGAGGTGGCAGAACTTCCAAGGGAAACAAAGCACCACGAAGCAGTCTGAGGCATGGACCAGAGGTGGATAGAAGATGGTGGACTGAAGATGCAGAATTCCCTGTCATGGGAATAGTGGTGATCGCTGAAGTTCTGACATAGATTTTGCTGATTTCATAAATGATAGCATAACAGTTTGGGATTTTGATCTTTTCTTTTCCATGAAGGATACCTGTGGATAGTTGACACTGATGAGTGGATTACCACTTGCAGAATTTCAAACTTTTAAAAACTTTTTTTTAAAACTTCTGGGGAATAAATTTTAATATTTTCCCTAGTTTCTTTTGAAATTTGTCACCAGATCTTTTGGTTGGGGGAGCATTTTTGAATCCTCTACGCCAGGGGCCACAAACTATGGGCCAGATCCAGTCCACCTGTTTTTGTAACTATGGGACACAGCCGCACTCATTCACTTAAACTGCCCGTGCCTGCTGTCAGACTAGAGTGACAGAGTTGAGTGGTTGCAACGGAGACCATATGGCCTGGAATTCTGTCTGGCCCTTTATAGAAAAATTTTGACCCCTGTGCTCTACTATGCCCTGTTTCTTTATTTTTTTTCTCTGCTTTCTACATCTTTCAATGTCACCTCCCCTGGCCCCCGGTGAGTTTCATTTGAGTCACAGCCTCAGCTTGTTTCCTGGAAACTATGCACCAGGCAGGTTTCCCACTTGCCCAGAAAGGGGAAGGAGCCTCCTGGAGCAGGAGGCAACAGCAGCCTTTTGGAAATTGTGGTGATCATGTGACATCATTGACTCGTTCCTCCGACACAGGCAGGCAGATGGAGTAGTCATGCTCACAACTGCTAAATTGTTTTCTGCTTCAGCAGCAAATTTCTTAATGAAGAGTCAAAAAGATTATTAGGGGCCAATAACTAGGCAGGACTTAAAAATCTTATTTTTTTTCCCAATAGAATGGCCTCTTATTTAAGAAAATAAAAGTGCAATCAACAAGTATTATCAAAAAGCTCAAAGTACCTTCTATCATGATAGTTGTTGTTGTTATGTGCCGTCGAGTCAAACCCAACTCATAGCGACCCCTCCTTGGGTTTCCGAGGCAGTATCACTACGGAAGTAGATTGCCCAACCTTCCTTCCGAGGAGTGGCTGGTGGGTTTGAACCGCCAACCTTCTGGTTAGCAGTCAAGTGCCTTAGCCACTATGCTACCAGAGCTCATGATAGTATACCCAGTTAAATGAACTAATCAAAAAACAAGACAAATTGTAGGAACTGTTAAGAATCACATCTCCTACAGTGGATCCTGTCTTGGCTTCGCAAAAGAGCAAAGCATGCAATTTAACACACACACACACACACACACACACACACAAAATAGTACTAAAGGAAATTGTGTTTTAATTGTATCTATGTATGTTTTACCTTTTTACTTTTTCTTGATGAAACTTAATGATTTAAATGTGCTTAACTGAAATAAATAGAACTTATTTTCTTACAGCCATGGTTTGAAAAAGTTCTTTTCATGTCGTGGAATTGCAATTGCAGTTGAATATTTTTGGAAGCTTGGCAACAGAAACATCACTGTGTTTGTTCCTCAGTGGAGAACAAGGCGTGATCCTAACGTCACAGGTAAGGACAACTGATTTTTCCAGATGTCTAATTAGATATTTAATGAGTTGGTTTATAATAGTAACACACTACTTAGAATAGAACTGTTCATAGCTAGCAGCTGTTTAGAAGAAAAATTCTCAATCAGTTGCACCCAGTAATTGATGTTTCTTAAATCTCCTTTGTGCTTTAAAATCTGATTGTTTTTTACTAATATTCTAAATCTAAGAATTACAGTAAAGCGTCAATCAAAGAGAGACTGTTAGAACAAAAGAAATACATGGGGAGGGTTGGAAAGTTAACATAGTTCATATGGAAAGTTATTAGAGTTCATTATATATATCACAAAAATCTTTCTTTTGACTGTTATAAAAAATAAATTAAATATGCTTTTCTATTACACTGGGTTTCTGACTGTTTAGTAGTACTTTTAAAATGATCACTTGGTAAAATTTGGTAGCGTCTGGTAGAATGTCTGTGTGTCTCTTTAATAGCTTGATAGAAATCATTTCTTTGTACTGTGTGCTACTGTGTGCCTTACTTGAAGGCCACACACAAAAGGTTTGGCCTTACTATGAATCATCAAGTGTTTCAGCGAAATTCAATGTTGTTTGGTTCTCAGATCATAAGAAAACAGGTGAAAGGGCTGTGCCAGGCTATTTAACCTATCAGATTGCTAGGAGTGAAGGTAGATTGGTGGCGTAAGCAGACGGCTCACCCAGCGTATTAAACAGCAGTTGAAACTGAGTCACTAGTGAAGTGGAAATGATGAAACCAGACATTTCCCAAAGTAGTCCCAACCTCCCTCATTAGAACATATTTGTCCTAACAGAAGGTACTTGGGGAGTGAGACAGATAACACTCATTTCGTAGTTATTTTTGTAGTTGGATCCTTGAAAGAGTTTTGCAGTCCTTATATTCTGTGTGGCTCTCGGACATTAAAACACTGTATCCGGGCATTTCAGCTTAGGTCAGTGGTGAGCATCATTGTAGGGAGTGCAGCGGTAGGAATCGCAGGATCTGAGCTTTTCACCCCTTAGTGGTTTTCTAAAATGTGTCTTCTGTCCCCCTTTCTCCTCTGTCACTAATCATCCCCTATGAAAATCAGTAAACATTTCTACAATAACTAAGAGGGGTTGGACAGCAGGTCAAGTGCAGGGATATTTTTACAGACTCCTGGAATAAGGACCAAGCTGGCCTCTCTCGCGATGGGAGCTGAGCAGGTTGCCCCTCCCACTGCCTCTGCTATGGTTGCTCTTCCCTGTTCCCTCCATCCTCTTTGAAGACTCTTGCCGCCACTCTTTTTGTCCTTTCCTGCATGTAATGTGGTTTGGAAAGAGTTCTTGATGGTAAGGTTCACTAAATATGTTATGGTTTTCCTAAATTAAGAAGCAAATAAATTGAACCTTTTTGTTTAAAAAATAGCTAAAGTCAGGTATCCATTGCATTTGTCTTAGAATGAGCCTTGCTTGCTTATTTATTTTTGTTCCAATGAGTGAGTAAAATTGGGTTGTCTCGACTAATAGAGAAGAGGTTTTCCACATCTCTCCAGGTGAAACATTTGGGTGTACTTTCATTTACTTAAGCATCCTTGTTCTGAATGTGTGTTCAACTTATTCCATGGACAGAACAACACTTCTTAAACCAGCTCCAGGAGCTCGGAATATTATCTTTAACTCCTGCACGGATGGTCTTTGGTGAAAGAATTGCTTCTCATGATGACAGGTATGAAAGGCCATTTCCTTTTTAAGGTGGGTGTGGGGTGGTAAGGAGCCACCTGCTCCAGTGGACAGTGCAGTGTTGTGTGTCTAGACCCACACTCTTTTTTTTGACCCATGCTTTTGAAGGACTCACTTGATTCAGGGGTTGAGAATGTTGATTTCTATAGTCATGAGAGTTGTATGGTCAGCTGTTTTTGCTGTAGGGATTTAGGAACATAACCGAAAAAAAAGAAAAAGCCATTGAGTTTTTGTTTTTTTAATAAAACATGGCTGAGAATCTAAGCAAATGCAGATACTTAGTTGCAGTCTCTTTTGGTACATGCTAAAAGTAAAGTGACATTAGTAGTTTGTTCTATCTTCATGTGGCAGCCTCAGGAGTGGTTTTCTAACTTCATGTCTTATTTTTATCTATCTGTTTTTGGCCAGTGACTTGGTCTGTCATTGTGATGGCTGGGCCCACAGTGTCCCTCAGCATAATAGAAAGTGGTCTCAGCCAGCAGTGGTGTGATAGGAGTAAGCTTTGCTTCTTAGATTGGTATCTCATTTAGGAAGCAGGTGTTAGTGCATCTGATTTTTTTTTTTTTTTTTTCTCTAAAAGCTTTACTAAGCACCAGCCAAGTCCAAAGTGCAGAACCCTTTTCCTGGGACACCAGTCGATGGAGGCACACCTCCTGCTGTAGGAATTTGTGCTCGACATAAGCAGGCAGCCATGCAGATAGATAATAGAAGGGAGCGGTGCTTTGTTTGCGGAAGAGGAGGTTCCAGACTTGACCCATAGCATTAGGACTCATCCCTAATCGTTCTCCAGTTGCGTGAAATCAGTAGTAGCCTGTCTACTAGCATCTGGGAACACAGATGGTGGCTGCTTATTCCTTCCCCTCCTGCATTTACCCTGTTGTCTTCTGGCCTGTAGCACTTACAGCCCCTGGTGTTTCTGCTTCAGTATCCCGCCAGAGTGCTCCCTCCACTTAAGTTTCACCTGTGACCCAAGCTAGTGAATGATGAGGGTCAGATGGGTCAGAGATAAGCAGAGGGGCGTCGGGAGGGGAGGGGGCACTCGGGGTGACAGCAGACATTTATTCTGCAGTAAGTCCAAAGGGCCTTCTCACAGCCCTTGTTTCTCACCAGGCTAGTATGAGAGACCAGCTCTGACAGGGAGTGTGGGGGCGGAGACATGAAAGAAAAGTGTGGGAGGAGGCTGTGGGAGAACAGCAGGTGGGACAGGCACGGGAGGAGCAAGGACTTAGGGGCTGGGATGGCAGGACAGTTCTTGCTTCAGGCCTCTGACAAAGGGTAGAGACCTGGGAGTGCTCAAAAGCAGCTTGGCTTGTAGGCTCAGGAGGAAACTTCTGGGTCCTCTGCCAGTGCAGCTGTGTGCTCACACCAGCACACACTGAACCTCCTTACGCTGTTAGTAATCATTTTCTAAATGGTCATTGGTTGATACAAGGAGCTAAATCATATTTGCTTTGCAAGGTATATTAACATCTCTAAAACTAATGAGAGTTACTTTCCTTTTAAATCACCTTTAAGTGTTCACTCCCAGTAATAAAATCAGTTGGTTACATTTTTAACTTCAGTGACTCTCTGACTTTATTGTTTCCTTACCTTTGTCTGTATTGCCTTAGACAAATGGGGTCTTCCCAAGGGATAAAATCCATGTATTAGCCTCACAAATCTCTCATTCATTAAGGGCATTTAAAGATGACTAATTTCCAGCAGTGAAATAGAGTTCCTCTTTAATGCTTAGTTCTTACCCTTTTTCATCACCATATATCCTTTCATAACCTGCATTTAAACAGATCTGTACCTGAGGCTAAACAGATTGGTAGTTGTAAACATCTGTTAAGTCAGCAAAAAATGTGAACCTATGAATTAAGGAAAAAAAAAAAAACTTCAAGGCTGATAGTAACAAGCAGCAAATCTTAGAGCCAAAATGCTGTAGCCTAGCAACTAAAAACTGGGTAGGATTTCACAGGATCTCAGCTTTATTCCATTCTCTGCTCGGGACCTCGGTCATTTTCTTTTTACCACTGTTTATTAATTATATGACATTTCTAGAAAAAACGTACAAAGTATAGTTGAGATCATAAAAGGAAGAACCAGATTGTATGAACACCAGTCCTCCTTTGATAGTCACACTAATCATTTCAGAGGTATTCAACTTTTCTGATTGATCTCAAGTTGCCTGGGGCTTACCTGTTTTGGTCTCAACCTCAGTTAAATTCTTTGGTGATTTTCTTTGAAGAGGAAATCCTTTTGTTTCTTGTCCCACAGCTTCTCGAAGCCTCTTTTATATTACCTCTTTTGTAACCTCTTTTATGTTACCATAGGTTTCTTCTACACTTAGCAGACAAAACTGGTGGCATAATTGTAACAAATGATAACTTCAGAGAATTTGTGACCGAGTCAGTCTCTTGGAGAGAAATTATTACAAAAAGGTAATTATTTTCTTCTTTATCTTTGCTCAAAAATGCTTTGTTGTTGTTTATTTTTTGTTTGCATTTTGTCCATGTTGGTCCTGCATAAGGCACTATAGGGGACCAAAGTGTCATAAAAATTTGTTCCCAGTCCATAGGATGCTTGGCCCCTCTGGGTAAGTGGGAGAACGCAGCACAAAGCGCAAAGCCCGTGCGCCTTTGTGGTCTTTTGGGTGCTGACTGTGTTGTACATTTTTGAGCCAAATCCTAGTCACAAGGTGTGTTTGGTTTATACAAACTCATCAAGCAATATACACATGAAAGTCCCTAGGAGGTACAGTTAAGGCACTTGGCTGCTAACACACTGGAGGTTCAAGTTTACCCAGAGGCACCTCAGAAGAAAGGCCTGGCAATCTACTTCTGAAATATCAGCTGCTGAAAACCCTGTGGAGCTGCACCTGGTCACCATGAGCTGGAATGGACTGGACAGCAACGTGTGGTAGTGCTGAGAGGGCACGCGTGCCCGCGTCAGAGCTCAGAGGCACCCTTCCGTGAAACAGGAGCCACATTCCTGTGTCATGGTTAACTCTGGTACGTGTGTGATGGAGCAGAAATGTCCTCCTCACCTGGCCCTCCCCTGATGCCCAGAAGACCTTGGCAGGTCATCAGACCTCCCTAACATACTCCAGTGAAGTTTAGACTTGATAACTGAGATTCCAGCAAGAGGACAGGACCACAGTCAATATGCTGAATGAGTTTTCACTTTTTGGATGGTGGATGTTGTTTCTACTTTTTAATTTCTGCTGTTTTTCTTCAGCTATTTATAGTCATAGGTCAACCATCTATGTTGAAAACACATTTGAATATCATCCATAATAACAAAGTAAAGACTTAGCATGCCCACTATAAGTTTATTTGTGGTAATACTATGAATGTGTCCAGTTGCTGAAAACTGCCTTAAGATCAGTAAGTACAGGCTTCCAGGTCTTTTTGTTAAAAACAGACATCACCTGACTAGTTACTCAGAAAGCAATGGGTCCATGGTGTTGTGTTATTAGGTGCTGTGGAGTTGGTTCTGCTCATAGTGACCCTCTGTATAATAGAATGAAGCACTGCTTGGGCTTGCGCCATCTTCATGATAGTGGCTGTGGTAGAGCTCCTTGTTGCTGCCACTTTGTCATTCTGTCTTGTTGAGGATCTTCCTCTTTTTCACTCACCCTTTACCAAAGCATAAGGAGCTCTGGTGGTATAGTGGTTAAAGCATTGGGGTGCTAACCAAAAGGTCAGTGGTCTGGACCCGCCAATCACTCTATGGGAAAAAGATGAGGTAGTCTGCTTCTGTAAGATTTACAGCCTTGGAAACCATATGGGGCAGTTCTACTCTGTCTTATAGTCTCTATGAATCGTAATTGACTTGATGACATTGATTGGTTGGTTACAAAGCATGCTGTCCTTCTGCAGGGACTAGTCTCTTTTGATCACATGTCCAAAGTACATGATGTCTTGCCATCTTCGCTTCTAAGGCGCATTCTGGCTGTACTTCTTCTACGACAGATTTGTTGGTTACTCTGGCAGACAATACCAAAACCTGACTCTGTCACTGAGTCAATTCCAACTCATTGCAACCCCCATTGGGTTGCAAAGGCTCTAAGTCTTTATAGAAGCAGCCTGCTTCATCTTTCTTCCACAGAGTAGCTGAGCTGGTGGGTTCAAACCACTAACCTTTTTGTTAGCAGCCAGATGCTGGAACCACTGCACCACCAGAGCTCCTTGCAGTCCATAGTCCATGTTATATGCAGTATTCTTCACTAGCACCATAACACAAAGGCATTGGTTTTCCTTTGGGCTTCCTTACTCATTGTCCATCTTTTGCATGCATATGAGGCTATTGAAAATACCATGGCTTAACTCAGATACCCTTTAATCGTAAAGGTAAGTAACATCTTTGCTTTTTAACTCTTTAAAAAGGTCTTTTGCCACAGATTTGCCCAGTGCAAACATTGTTTGATTTCTTTCTTTCTTTCTTTCTTTTTTAATTTTATTGTGCTTTGGGTGCAAATTTACAGAGCAAAATTTGTATTACATTTAACAGTTCGTGTACATTTGATTTCATGCCCTGATGACCATCCCTGACCATAACAAACTCTCCTCCCCTCCTGTCCCTGTGACTACCCTCTCCCTGGCCCTTCTGAGCTGTGTACTCCTGTCTGTCCGGCTTTCCCTCTATGTGAATGCTGCCCCTCTGTTGCCCCATGACTGATTGCTCTAGGGGTATATCTCCCTAGCAGAAATGGGTGCATCACCATGGGGTAGGTCTTTCTGCTGTTGGGCTGAAAGCCAATACCTGGGAGTGAGTCCAATTCTAGGCCCAAAGGGTAACTCAAGGCCATAGTCTCAGAGGTTCCACCAGACTCGACCTGACCAGTAATTCTGGTCATTTTTGAATGTGAATTTTCTTCCACATTTTTCCTCCCACTCTATCCAGGATCTCCAATTCTGATGCCTTTCCAAGTGGTTGGCATTGGTAGCCAGGTACCATCTAGTTCTTCTGGTCTCGGGGTCCATCATATCCTCGGACTAATTGTTTACCAGATTTTCTTCTCTCTCCTTTGCTTTAAATAAGAGGAGTCGTTTGATTTCTTAATTGTTGCTCCCTTTGGAGTTGATTGTGGATCTAAGTAAAGTGAAATCTGACAACTTCAATCTTTTTTCTGTTTATCATGATATTGTTACTGGTCCAGTTGTGAAGATTTTTGTTTTCTTTATGTTGAATACTGAAGGCTGTAGTCTTTGATCATCAGTAAGTGCTTCAAGTCCTCTTCACTCTCAGCAAGGAAAGTTGTCATCTGCATATCACACGTTGTTAGTGAGTCTTCCTGCAGTCCTGATGCTGTGTTCTTCTTCGTAAGTCCAGCGTCTCTGATTATTTGCTCAGCGTACAGATGAGCAAATATGATCAAGTACCAGTGGTATTGAAGGGCCATAGTTCACAGCCTTGAACCATGGAGCAGTTCTACTCTGTACACGTGAGGCTGCTGTGAGTCAGAAGTGACTCGACAGCAGCTAATGACAACAACAACAATCTTCTAGGCTGGATTTCTGTTGGATTTCTTTGGGCTCATTGTCAGCATTTATTGAAAATTATCGCCTATACGCACAGAGGATTTAAAGGCAGACAAGACTCAAACCGAGATCTGGGCGACGACACAGGCTCTTGGGCTTGTTTTTTCCTTTTTGTTTTTTGCATTTCTCCAGACTTGAGAAATAATGCCCTGCTGACCTCAGATTGTCTTTCTTCATATTGTTTTCCCTTTTTTAAAAAAGACTGTCTTCAGTGAGTTTTCCTGTAGACACAGTTATTACCAGTTTCATCTAAAAATTGAACCCTTTTGAGCTCCTATTGTGTCCTTAGCTGGCAATCTTTAAGTCTTGATTTTTCAAAGTTAAATTGAAAATTATATGAGGAGAAGAAGCTGCTGTTTGCCAAGGCCAGGTAAACATCTGAAAGACACTATAAAGAACGTGAGGGCCAACTATCTAGTTTCTTACTCCACGGTATTTGAATCCAAAAGAGAGAAATTAAAATGGTTTATTTGGGTGGGTTTTTACCCGTTAGGTAGTTAACGCAAGCTTAGCATTTATAGGCAGACGTTTGCTTTCTAATTGGATAGCTGCTGTGAGATATTTTCTTCTCAGTTCACGTTGCAGTAAAGACTAAGTGATTTCTTCAGCTTTGTAATCATTCTCTGTGTTATAGGTTGCTTCAGTATACTTTTGTGGGGGACATATTTATGGTTCCTGATGATCCCCTGGGAAGAAGTGGACCTCGGTTAGAAGAATTTCTTCGGAAGGAAGTCTTCCTTAGGTATTTCCTTCTTCCAATTGTATTAAAAGTGCTTTAGTGCAACTGCTGTCTTTGAAGACTAAAAATGGCATTTTGTTTAATTAAAAAAAAAAAAAGTAAAGCCTACAATCAGTACTGGTGTAAAGTCTGAGGGAACTAATCCAGCTAGCATCCCCAAAAATGAAATCTTCAACGTGCCCTGTGCTTTTAATCCTAGGAGAGGATGAGGAGCAAAACCTTTTTTTGTGGATCTAAAAAGACAAAGACTTTCCAAGTTGGCTGGTCACTTGTTGGCAAATGCCACTTTGGTTGTGTGTTTGTGACTATCTTTTTATATTCACTTTCCAAAGTCATTTGATTTGAGTGTTTAATACCTGGGAGGTGGTCCTTTACTTTCTACCCCCACTGGATTGAGAAGCCAGGGTTCCGTGTTTATATAGAATGTATTTGATAGTTTAGATTTTCTTTGTTTTGTTATTGCTTTTAGTTTGGAGGGTTTTTTTGTTGTTGTTTTTGTAAAGGCCCATTGCTAGTAATTGGTTCAATTTTCAGAATTCTTAGGTTAATGGACACAATTGCCTAAAGTATCCTAGATGCCTAGCTAGCAAGTCATAAAACCTAGAGACAGATCTTTCCTCCCTTTTAGAATGAAATTAGGCCTGCACTTTGTTTCTTTCCCAGCAGATAGTTGCATGGGATGTTGGTGGGGATTTAAATGGAGGAGTTCTCACAGCTTATAGCTTTTGAAGGCAGTGAAACTTCCCAGCTGATGGTTTCCCCCTGTAGCAGGGTTCTTTAGGGGTTCTGGGTGTGGATTCAGTGGTAGGTGCTGATAGGCTGGGTTTTTTCCAGAGGAATCTTTTGCAGGTTGACCAGAACGATTTCTGCTCTCTGATCTTGGGACTCATTTCTTCTTTGAGCCTTTGGGTTGTATCACAGAGGTGAGGAGTTAGCTCCCACAGGGCACGATTCTCCATCCTCACCAAGAGAATGGCAGCCTTTTTTTTTCTTTTTTAACAACTCCTAGATGTCCAGTATCTCATTTTTCTTCCAAACATCCTAACGTGGAAGGCCTCTACTGAGCTGGTAACAGCCAAAGCTGTGTCTTAGTGTCAAAGCCCATGGGTCAAACTTAATGGAAGGAGAGTTCTCTGGCACCTCGCCCTCCTGAGCAACAGGGCGGCAGGATCAGTCCCTCCTGCCTTTCTTTTATTCACCTAATGGCTCTTTACAGAGGTCTTAACTAAATTATTACAAACTTAGTGACACCCCCCCCACACACACAGAGGGATTAGCTTTTGAGATTGGCAAAGTGCTCTGCTCACCCTGTTTCTGAGCTGCGAGCCAGATTCCACGGGGAGTCCCTTGAACAAGTCACGTGCCCTGTACACACACACTCATGTGCAGAAAAGGTTGTGGGTACTAACCCAGACCTGGGAGAGGGGCTATTATATGAGTTCCTGAGAACTGCCCCTCTGCCCAAAATGGATCACTTGTTCTAGGCCCTATCAGCCAGAGCCCTGCACAGAATCAGAATCTCTAACAGTGAAACCCTGTTATCCATGTCTGGTGAAAGCTCCCAGGTGACTCAGTTGTACCCTGGTTTAGAAAGATCCTAAACAACTGCCTCGGGTTAATCCTCCTGGCAGCTGACCCATGAGGTGGTACCAGCTCATAAAGAGCTGTCATTCTTTCTCATGACCAGTCTAGAGAAGGCAACAGTGAAACCCTCCCAGGCCTCTCCATAGGTAGTTGATGTCACCACCTCGACTGAAATCTTCTAGCTGGCCCAAAGGTGCCAGGAGGAGGGGAACCTTAAGCCTCAAGGAGAGCAGGTATTTTATAAAACTTTCTCATTTGTCTTATAACCCAGCTCACCAGCACTTGCTTCCATTCACAGAGATATGCAGCCCCTACTCAATGCCCTGCCTAATGTGGGCGTGTTTGACCCCAGCTTCCGAGTCCCTGGTGCCCAGGCAGCCAGCACCAGCCACCAGCCTCCAGCCCGGATTCAGGGAGTCCCTCCAAGCCACTGGCTTCCCCAGCAGCCCCACTTCTCACTCCTTCCCAATGTCCAGCAAAATCTGCCCATGCCAGCCCAGAGGTCTTGTGCAGAAACCAGTGAGCTAAGGGAAGCCCTTTTGAAAATCTTCCCTGACTCGGAGCAAAGACTGAAAATTGACCAGATTTTGGTGGCCCACCCATACATGAAAGATCTGAATGCGCTCTCTGCCTTGGTGTTGGATTGAAGATGGTGTTGGACTGAAGATGGTGTTGGGAAGCTGGAGCTCAGGGCTGACTCGGTGGAACTTGAGCTGATGTCCGTACCGGATGGGAAGTCATATAATGTGAAGATACCTGTTTCCCAGTGTAAATGCTGTTGAATTGTATAGAAAAAACAAAAACAAATCATGTTTTGTGTATAAAAGAACCTGAGGTTTCAAAACCAGCTGTTTTCTATATATAAATTATGCTGCTGTTACAGATTTACCATTTTCTGTAAAAGGAAAGTCTACATTTTCTGCCTGTTCAGAATTGTTTAATAGCAGTTTACTCTCGAGTGCATTTGCATTTTTATGTTTTTTAAACTATTTTCCTTAAAGCTGAAAATATTGACAAAATGGATATGATTAGCCTTTCTAAATAAATTTTAAAAAAGAAGAAAAAAAATAATTGCTTTCTTCAGGAAAGCAAGACCTCTTAAAGTATATTTTCTTGAAATGAACATGTCCTGTCCACCAACAGGAAGTGCGCTTGCCCTTCCCAGCCTTCCCAGTCCTCACCCTTGTGAGTGGAGTTGGTAGGAGTTGGGTTTGCTCCTCTAGAGCGTCTTTATTTGGGAGCTGTCTGTGAGAGAGTGGACCATTGGTGCCACTAGATGGCACTTTGTGCCTATTCATTTTGAGTGACCGGGGCAGAGTGAGACGCACAGAACATCAGGGCCAGAAGACAGTTTCTAGAACTCACATAGGCCAATGCTTCTTCCTCATCCTCTCAATGGAAGATGGAACTGAGGTCCCAGCATGCTCACCAGACATGCCCAGGGTCCACAGCTGGCAGGGACCAGACTCCCCGTCCAGTTCTCTGACGGACCCACTGGGCTGAGGCCCCAGAACTAACCTGACTCTGAAAGCAGTGTCTGCCTCTGAAAACAAGGCGGGGTGTGAGGAACCTCCACAAACAGCCCCACTGTTGTGGCGAGTTGGTGTCCACAACCATGGGACACACCCCGATGTGGAGTCTGTACAATTTTGCCAAAAACGGATTTCTTATTCTCAAGAATGACCCAAGCCAATAAATAGTACTAGTAGCTTCTGTGGGGGGGGGGCCCCAAAGCCCTTGTATTTATTTCTCCTGTATTTGTCTCTGTAGTGTTCTAAGCAGCCCTTCCCGTGAGTTTTTCTCAGAGTTGATATCTTTAGTGTTGGCTGTGTTTTTAGTGTTGCCCAAATTCCCCGTCAGTGAACTTCTTTTCCTGGCTAGTTCCTAACATTTTTACTGTTACCTGCACCTTCAAAGGGCTTCGTGTTTTATACTTACTCTCCCCAGGCTGTTTGCCGTCAGCTTCCTGTTTGCCCTGTGGATCACGTCTCCCAGCAGCTGAGAACCTAGTGCTGTCGGTGCTGGTTTGCTTGTCAGGTAAAGGCACTGTGTGGGCACCGCACAGCCAAGTGGTGGCCCAGGATGCGCTCCCCACCAGGAGTGTTTTTTCCTGGTTTGTTTGGCCCTTGCATCCCTTAGCACTTTGCCAGTGGTGATTGATCTAGAGCCCCCCAGGTGGCCCAAGCTGGGCTTCAATCATGTTTTTCTCTTGAATGCTGTGAAGGTGCATCTTGGTGTGAATGAGTTGTCAGCTGTCGCTTTGGGGCAGGTTGCCCAAGTCACCCAGCTTCCAGCTGTGGACATGGGGGAAAACAGAAGACTTGAGGCAGCCAGAAAGATGACTTTGGTCTCTGCCTCCCACCATGTGTCAGCTTCAGAACTGATTGTTTTGAAAAGCACAAAGGAGGCTATCTCACGGTGACTCCAGCCTTCTGGTTCAGGGTTTGGTCCTGTTGCCTTGACAATCCAGTATTTCTCCTCCGTTCAGAGAAAGAACACAGGAGACTCGCCTTGACTCTCAAAGGCTATGCCACAGCTCTGCCTGCAAGTGAACTGAATTTCCACTAATGCCAGGTGGAACTGGCAAGGTTGAGGGCGTCAGGAGTTTTCTAGGCTCAAAAAGTGACTTGACCCATGACCTTTGAATTATGTAGCCTTTGGGTTCTTAGTATGGTCTCTCAGAGAATCTACCTACCTCCTTCCTCTTTCCTCAGGCGTGGGAGGAAAGGATACAGGAGAGTAAGTGGGAGGAGTACAGAAAAACATTAATAATTCATATTTATAAAGCATGAACCATAATTCACAGTCCTGTGATCTAATTTAGTCTAATTTAATATTGAAAACCCCAATTACCAAGCCTTAAAATTACTACCTGTTCTCCACCTCCTTTCAACACTAGGCTCAGTGTTGATGCTGAGTAAGTATTTGGTGTGTCGGCAGTGATGCACCTCCTTCTGTAAGTGGTGAGATCATCAGGCTTTCATGTATAGTGGCTCAGCATCCTATGTTGTATGCCCTTTCTGTGAAGTAGGGGGCAGGACAGAGATGCCACCGTCATGCAGTAGACAAATTATCATGCTCAGAGAGGCTGCCCAAGTCAGTAGCTGGTGGAGTGGAATTGTCCCAGGGCCCAGGCTGCCTCCCCTGAGAAAGAAGAGACACTTGTTTGACTGGAGGCAGGCTCGGCTGTGTCATAAGGTATGCAGGCCTGTTGCTGCTATTGGGATCAAGGATAGAAGTGATGGTGTCCTGCTACATAGGCAGTTATGGCATTTGAAGGAGGACCCCCATGCTGCACACAGGAGCATGGCCTGGCCTTTCTTCCGCCAGCCAACTCCAGAAAGCAGCTCCAGGTACTGGGCCCACTGAAGAGGAGCTGGGTGCCTCTCACCTCAGACCTAGCCAGTCTCCTTCACACTCCACCTCTCCCCCAGCACTTTCTGCCCTCACCCATCCTTCCCTCCTCTGTCCCTGAACCTGTCTCCTCTCAGCTGCTAACTGTAAAGTATTCAGTCATGTAATCCCTGGCTCACCCCGTTTCTTCATTATCTACCTCTTCATTATTCTGCCCCACACACTGCAGGTCATTTGGTCTTTTCAGAATACCTGTTTTCCCCCTGAGTCTCAGCCCTGTTCGTTGTCCTTCACTTCCCAGTGTGCAAACATGGTTTCCCCACCACGTGGAATTAGCTTCGCGAGGGTGGTCAGTACCAGATTCAGAGGGCTTGTCTTTCCCCTCAGTGTCCACGCAGCGACCACAGCATTTGACACCTTTGGTCTTGTTTTTTCTTTTCACTCGTGAAGAGCTAGATGTTCTTCATGACTTTTCTTTCTTCTTTTACCTCAAGGCCAGCCCTTGGCCGCTTTCCCTTTCTCCACAGGTAGTTCTCAAACTAGACCACCTGTGGGGACTCATGGGGGTGGAAGATCTTGTTGAAAATGCAGACTGCCCAGAGTTGTTCCTTTAGTAGCTCACCTGGAAGTCTGCAACTCCACTAAGGCCCCTAGGTGACTCCCAGGCAGGTGGTCCCTGGGCCACACTTTGAGAAACTTTTCACTCTCCCTCAATTCTCTAACTCCACTGCCCCCCTTACCAGTGAATTGTAAGCCCAGCACTAGCCCTACCCTCCAGGATTGCACTTCCAGCTTAACCTGAGAGCCCTGTAGAACCCCAAGATTCACTCCCCAGACCCTTGCCTCCCCCCTCGTCCCCTCAAAGCCTCCCTCGGAGCATCAGTCCCTGCCCCGTTAGCCTGCCTCCCGCATCTCCCCTGTATTCCACACTCCACAGCACTGCCAGCTCTACCTTCCAGAAACCCACTTCTGGTCCAGTGATCCATGACTCTTGGCCAGTGTGTCAAGTTCAGACTCCCCTGAGCTTTGTGTTTGTAGCTGCCCACCTCCTGGCCCACAGTGGACTGTCTGCTTTGTACAGCCCCACTCAGTGCTACAGTGCAGCCACACAGATCTCCTCACAGTGACCTCTTCTCTCAGCGAGAAATGCTCTTCCCCTGGCAGAGGCCCAGCCCTGAGTCCTCTCTGTCCTTGCCTGGTGCTTCTGACCTGAAGCAATCCATGGTGTACTGTGACCCCACAGCACTTTGTGTCCCACTTTTGGCACCAGCTCAGGCTGGTGTCACTGCAACTGATTGTGTACTGTGTCTTACCGCCCTTTCTAGACTGTGAGCTCCTCACGGGCAGGGACCGTCTGTGATTGATTGCTCTTTGTACTCCCCATGGCACCTAGCACAGTGCCTTGCACTTAATAGGTGCTCAATAAACGTCTGTTCAGTGGAATTTGAGGACAGTGCTTTCTTGACCTGCGGCATTGGCAGCTCTACCCAGTAAGACCCTCAGCAGTCAGATTTTCTGCAGCTGAGCCCATGGATCCCTGAACTCTGCTCTAGTAGACCTCAGGTGGGGTGCCTGCCCAGTTCTCCACTCTCCTTCTCAAAGGCTCTGACACATACTGTCTGGGCAGATGGGTCCAGGGATGGGCCCCAGCTGCAAGCAGAGCCAGTCATTGCACTCAGACCCCCTGGCCACCGGTTGGTTAGGGGTGGACATCTAGTTCAAGCTAGGCCAGTCAGTCATTCCCTTGGGAATCTTTCCCCTCTGGTGGTAGGAGCTGGGGGATGATACCTGGCCCAGCTCTATTAGAGGCTGTTCCTGCCTTGAAGGAAAGTTGGGCTGTGGTAGAAGAGAAGCAGAAATGAGAGAGAATGATTTCTGGGAGGACTGGAGTTCCAGGTTCCTATTATAGAAGCCTAATGGAGTCCATGGGAGCTCTGGTAGCATAGTGGCTAAGACACTTCCTGCTAACCAGACGGCTGGCGGTTCAAACCCACCAGCCACTCCTTGGAAGGAAGATTGGGCAGTCTACTTCTGTAGAGATTAAAAAGCAAAACCAGACTCACTGCCTTCGAGTCGGATCCAACTCATAGCGACCCCTCCTTAGGTTTCCAAGGTGGTATTACTACAGAAGTAGATTGCCCTGTCTTCCTTCCGAGGAATGGCTGGCTGTAGAGATTACTGCCTCAGAAACCCAAGAAGGGGTCGCTGTGGAGCCCGTGCCCTTCCTCAGATCAAAATGCCCCAGCATTCTGACACATTTCCCCTTTTGCTTTGGCTGGTTCTCGTGGGAGGAGCCCTGGCGGCACAGTAGTGGTCAAGCAGTTGGCTGCTGATAGGTCGGTGATTTAAACCCACAAGCTGCCCCATGGGAGAAAGATATGGCAGTCTGCTTCCTTAAAGATTACAGCCTTGGAAACCCTCAGTTCTATTCTGTCCTGTAGGGTCACCGTGAGTCAGAATTGACTTAGCTGCAACGGGTGTAGTGCTACTTGGGCTTATGGCACTAGAAACCAAGAGTCTTTATAGTAAAACGTGCGTTACTGCCCTTTGAAAGACTTGAAGATTAAATGTGTCCTTTTCATCTCATCTTCAGAAGGGCCCCCAGAGACTTACGCAAGCAGAACTTCAGAAGTGTTTACCCCAGTCAGTCACCTCAGAACCTGACAATTTCTGAGTAACTTGAACCTTTCCCTCGGAGAACTCTGATGCCACCTCCAGACAGCAGGTTCCTGCT